ACTGAACCAGGACTGAACCAGGACTGAACCAGGACTGAACCAGGACTGAACCAGGGAACCAGGAAACCAGGACTGAAACCAGGGCTGAACCAGGACTGAACCAGGACTAAACCAGGACTGAAACCAGGACTAAAGGACCAGGTCTGAACCAGGAACCAGGACTGAACCAGGACTGAACCAGGACTGAAACCAGGACTGAACCAGGACTGAAACCAGGTCTGAACCAGGACTGAACCAGGACTGAACTGAACCAGGACTGAACCAGGTCTAAACCAGGACTGAACCAGGACTAAACCAGGACTGAACCAGGACTGAACCAGGGCTGAACCAGGACTGAACCAGGACAAAACCAGGTCTGAACCAGGACTGAACCAGGTCTAAACCAGGACTGAACCAGGACTAAACCAGGTCTGAACCAGGACTGAACCAGGGCTGAACCAGGACTGAACCAGGACTAAACCAGGGCTAAACCAGGGCTAAACCAGGACTAAACCAGGACTGAACCAGGTGTAAACCAGGACTGAACCAGGTCTGAACCAGGACTAAACCAGGACTAAACCAGGACTGAACCAGATCTAAACCAGGTCTGAACCAGGGCTGAACCAGGACTGAACCAGGACTAAACCAGGACTAAAACAGGTCTAAACCAGGACTGAACCAGGACTGAACCAGGACTGAACCAGGACTGAACCAGGACTGAACCAGGACTGAACCAGGACTGAACCAGGACTGAACCAGGACTGAACCAGGACTAAACCAGGGCTAAACCAGGGCTAAACCAGGGCTAAACTGGATCTAAACCAGGTCTAAACCAGGACTAAACCAGGACTAAACTGGATCTAAACCAGGTCTAAACCAGGACTAAGCCAGGACTAAACTGGATCTAAACCAGGTCTAAACCAGGACTAAACTGGCTCTAAACCAGGGCTAAAGCAGATCTAAACCAGGACTAAACCAGGTTTTAACCAGGTCTAAACCAGGTCTAAACCAGGACTAAACCAGGACTAAACCAGGTCTAAACCAGGACTAAACCAGGACTAAACCAGGTCTAAACTAAACCAGGACTAAACCAGGACTAAACTGGATCTAAACCAGGTCTAAACCAGGACTAAACTGGCTCTAAACCAGGACTAAACCAGGGCTAAAGCAGATCTAAACCAGGACTAAACCAGGTTTTAACCAGGGCTAATCCAGGACTGAACCAGGACTAAACCAGGTCTTAATCAGATCTAAACGAGGACTAAACCGATTCTAAACCGGGACTGAACCAGCTCTAAACTGGGACTGAACCAGATTTCAACCACGTCTAAACCAGGACTAAATTGGGGCTAAACTAGGACTAAACCAGGACTAAACCAGGGCTAAACTAGAACTGAACCAGGACTACACCAGGACTAAACAAGATCAAAACCAGGTCTAAACCCAGGCTAATCCAACTATAAATCAATTTTAAACCAGATCTAAACCACTTTTGAACCTGGTTTAAATCAGCTTTAAATTAAAATAACACACGCAGCATCAGACACACGTCCCAATCTCGCCTAATCAAACGCGCCCTGCCTCTTCCGCGCTCCACAAACGACTCGCGCGGTCGATCTGCACCTGTGTTGTGCTTAAAAGCCGAAATCCTGCAGAAGAAAAGGCTGCGTCTCTAATCATATCTGCAGCTTGTGACTTTATTGATTAGCCCTCACTATCTCCCACTCTGACAAATGCGCTGCTCCCGCTCCCTTTTCAAGTCGGGATCTCTGCGTTCAATAGAGGATCGATCACGCCGAGAGGAAGCCACAAGATAAATTGACTTCTCGCCTGATCCTTCTGATTTCTGCAGCGTGTGTGTGTTTGTCTGTGTGGTGATAGATTTTGTTTTGTGTCTATTTTTGTAGCTTCTGTTGGTGGTCAGTGATGGGAAGTAACTAAATACACGTACTGAAAATTGATACTTGGCAGCTGATGTTTTCAATTTTCCCTCGGGGGGGGGGGGGTGACGCCAACTGGAAGCACTGCTCTGTCTGAAGATGTGTTTATCAAATTCGACTTAAAGGTTGTATAGAGGATTTTCCGAGGAACGAGCGACTGTTTGTCCTTTTTCAAATGTTGCGCATGCGTGAAACCACCTCCCCTCCCCTACAGCTCCTACGTAGAAACACCTCCTCCCGCCTCCTCCTTACGCCAGAAAACAGGTTTGTTTACAGCCGGTGCTGCACATGACTTGTAAACAACTAACTACAGTGTTGGTTAGGCAAGACGGGAGAAGTGAGGAGCGGGAGAGGAGAGGGGGGCGGAGATTTCGTGCCCGGAGAGAGTGAGGATCAGGGAAGAGCGGATCGGGCAGCGGGGAGAGAGGAGCAGGAAAGGGGAGCAGAGAAGGTTGCGCGGAGATTCAGTGCGAATGAACTAGCTACAACACGCAGCAGCAAGCGGACTCTTTCTTTGCCTTGAAAATGACGTTTTCAGACATAGGATATCGCTTTCGTGTCCTGAAAAACGTTTGTCTCGCTCTTGGAAATAAAGTACGTTTTCATAATAAGCAGAAGTTTCCTGTCCAGGAGTAATTTGTGGACCAGTGCGTCAGTCTTTAGACCCTGCGTCTGCTTTCAGTCGCGCCATCGCTGGAATGAATCTTCAAGAATCACCTTAGTTTGGCTTCGCTGCTTTTCCCCTTGTCTTCTTCTTTCAGCGACTTCAAAAAACTGACTTTCTTTTGCGGCGAACTGCTCCTGGATTCTTGTCGCCATTGCAACAAACTTTGTGCGAACTGCGAGGAAGATATAGGTCAAAAAAAGCCGCTAAGAACTGTTGCGTTGGTGGAGTAAACAGCGTCTGTGCGTCTTGCGTCTGTGGACTGCGTGACAGTCGTACGTAAACCACGTACCGGCGGCGCAGGCAAGTCAGTTACGCTAGAAACGTAGGGAGATTGATTGACAGCCTGTCAGCTCACAGATAACGAGGCAGTGTCGTTATCTATTGGCAAATGTTTAGCCCCACCACGTCCAGAGTTGATGAATTTTTATTCTCTTTTTTTTGGTCATCATAATTACAAGGCTCCTGCATCTATAATCTATCATTGACAACTTGAAACAAAAAAAAATCCTCCATACAACCTTTAATCTGAGCTCTGATTTAATACAATCTGACCAGAAAAAACTGATTTAAATCCAGTTGGTTTAAACCTAAAATGCCTCTCTCTGATCTGATTGGTCGCTACTTGAACCCCAGTACCTACAGCCAATCGTGGATCAGCGCTAGTGCAGCCTTTGCAGATCAGTGAGGGAATTCTGGAGGTTCATATACTGAGAACAGTGTCGGGAGTGACGCGTTATAAAAGTAACAAATCACTGTAACTCAGTAATTTGGCATTACAGGGAAAAAACTGGTCATATTTTACTCGCTACAAATGAAGCAAGTTACAATGCTTTTTTAACATGGATTGAAGTGGTGGATTTTTCGTTTTCGTCATACAAATTCGCTAAATTTACCGCGATATCAGCAGTAGAATGTCGGGATGGGGCCAGAGGTGCGCCCGTGAAGACCATCGGGTGACCGTGTTTTGTCCCATGTTTAGTCTTTGTTTATATTTAGTTAGATCTTTTACTTTTTGTCCATTTTCACGCTATGGTCTACTTCTAAACCTATATTTTTTCCTGCACTTAGTTGCTTTAACTCTTTCCCCCCTGGACGCCTACTAGGAACAACCCATACATATGTTACTAGGGCTAAACATAGAGCATAATTGCATAAAAGAAAACAGACTTCCACGAGTGATTTCAGGGCAATTTTGGTTCATAATCGAGTATAAAGCCCGGATAGTTTGTTCGGATATCGCTGTTTTCCACTTTATAATCACCCTCATCATCACTTTGAAATCTATAAAAGTCACTTTCTCTAAACTTATCCATAAAATATGTCCGCTCCTCATTATTTCTAAAACGTGTTTCGTGTTGTGTTTTTTCCAGAAGCTCCATCGTCACTACTTCGATTAACTACTAACTACTAACAGCCCAGGTTCAGTTGTAACAGTAATGTCTTTTATTTATTTATTTTTACATGTATCTTATATGTATTTATCAATTTTTGGTTTATTACCTCCGCCAAGGAGGTTATGTTTTTGCCGGCGTTTGTCTGTTTGTTTGTTTGTTTGTTTGTTTGTGTTTGTCTGTTTGTTGTTTGTTGTTTGTTTGTCTGTTAGCAACATAACTCAAAAAGTTATGGACCGATTTTGATGAAATTTTCAGGATTTGTTGGAAATGTGAAAAAGGAAGAAGTGATTTCATTTTGGGGGTGATCCGGAAGAAATCCTGGATTCTTTATCACTTTGAAATTTTAGTTAACATTGTGGTAAATGGGGCCAAAAATTTTGTTTCTCAATATCTCGGTTAATTATTGACCAAACCCCATGAAATTTGACTCGGGGATGGACAATGGGATCCTCTTTCATATTCCAAATTGAAAGATACGAGACAAATATTTATGGAAAACACAATTAATATGAGGGGCACTGTAGTCCTTGGCGGAGGTCTGCGCTCTCTGAGTGCTTTTCTAGTTTTAGTCTTTTTTAGTTGTCTGGCATATTCCTGGGTTAGTTTTATGTTAGATATTGGTTATACCTGGTTGTTTTATTTCTCAAAACTACCACAAAAACATGCATTAGTACTCTGAGCTGGCCCACTTTTCTATAGATCTGACCCGTAACTTGGCCTGAAAATGAAATGCCACCCTGTAGAACATTCCAAGAATAAAAAAAAAAACAATAACATCATGGAGTTAAGCAGGTGGCCGACCCTCTACCAGAAAGTTACACCTTTAAGTTCTCAGTTAGACCTGGTTTTGTCCCTTGTTTAGTCTTTGTTTATATTTATTTAGATCTTTTACTTTTTGTCCATTTTCACGCTATGGTCTACGTCTAAACCTGTATTTTTTTCCTGCACACAGTTGCTTTAATGCATATCTTCAGTATTCTGTAAGTAAATCCATTCTCTCCTCTCTCTGTTGTTCACCAGGCCGGCGCGGTGAAGGACTACATAAAGATGATGTTGGAGGACGAGCAGCTGAAGTTCCTGGTTTTCGCGCACCACCTGACCATGCTCCAGGCCTGTACCGAAGCAGCGATAGAGGCCAAGGTAATACAACTGAACACAACCGCTCTGTCTGTAGACGATTGTGCGGAGAAAAAGGGTTTAACGTGTTTTTCCCACTCGCACTTTTCAGGGATTTCAGATTTAAAGAGCTCATATTACACGTTCTGATCTGGTTTATAAAGTTTTCTCAATTTGAGGATTTGCATATAAATGTAAACCAGGTCTAAAACAGGATTAAACCAGGTCTAAAACAGGATTAAACCAGGACTAAAACAGGATTAAACCAGGACTAAAACAGGATTAAACCAGGACTAAAACAGGATTAAACCAGGTCTAAAACAGGATTAAACCAGGACTAAAACAGGATTAAACCTGAAAAAAAACCAAGATTAAATCAGCACTAAACGGGGAATAAACAAGGACTAAACCAGGACTAATCCAGGACTAAACCAGGACTGGACCAGAATTTAACCAGAATAAAACCAGGATTGAACCAGGCCTACACCAGGACTAAATCAGAACTAAACTAGGACTAAACCAGAACTAGACTAGGATTTAACCAGGATTGAACCAGGACGAAACCAGAAATAAACAAGGACTGAATAAGAACTAAACAAGAAACTAAACCAGGATTCAATCAGGATTAAACCAGGACTAAACCAGGATTAAACCAGGATTAAACCAGAACTAAGACAGGACTAAACTAGAACTAAACCAGAACTAAACCAGGATTAAACCGGGATTAAACCAGGACTAAAACAGGACTAAACTAGAACTAAACCAGGACTAAAACCAGCATTAAACCAGGACTAAACCAGAACTAAACCAGGATTAAACCAGAACTAAACCAGGATTAAACCAGAACTAAACCAGGATTAAATCAGAACTAAACTAGGACTAAACTAGAACTAATCTCAAATTAAACCACGACTAAACCAGGACTAAATTGGGACTAAACCAGGGATAAACCAGGACTAAACCAGGATCAAACCAGGGTTGAACCAGGTCTAAACCAGAATTAAACCAGGATTAAACAAGGACTTAAACCAGAACTAAACCAGGTCTATTCCAGGTCTAAATATAGTTGTTATATAATTCAATATACCTTACTTCCTATATTTCATCTCTTCAATATTTATACAAAATGCAGAAAGTCATAAAAATTTTAAAAATATAAAAAAAAAACACTGAACGAGAGAGAATATCCAAACTTTTAACCACTCTTATTATATATATTTAAAAAGTTACACAAATCCCTGACTCAAACTCTCTCGTCTCTGGCCCGAGTTGCCTTTAGGATCCAGGTGCTGCGTGAACGAACGGGGCCCCGGCGTCTGAAAATGACTTCGCCTCAAACCGTGATCAATATCCATAGGCAGTTTCCAATGCAATCACATCTGTAGGTTTATATTTAGATTCTCATAACTCACCGCCAGCTCAGACCCACCTGCCTCATCCGCGTAATTATGACCTGCTATTTCTGGGTATTTGTTCAGGTTTTATTGTTGGACGTGGCTCCCTCAGACTGACGGCCGCGAGTGGAAATTAAAACGTAATTAATGTAATAACAAGCGTAGCGATCTATGGGCTTTGTAAGAGTTAGTTATGCGGCGTCAGACTCGGAAGAGACGCTTGCAAGTTTCGTCAGAGTGTCAATTTAAAGGCGTAGTAAAGATCATTTGGGTTTTATGTAGCGCTTTTCACGGTAACACAACGACGGTACAACTAAAACTAAACAAGGACAAGGACAAACAAAAACAGTACGTTCATTCGTTTTTCAAGATAAAACCAAAAATAATTATTTGTCTCCAAAACCAAAGTGTTTCGTTTTTTTCAATTTTCGATTTTGTGTTTAAATGAATAACGGAAAAAACAGATAACGGACGTTTTCCCGTTTCCGTGACTGCGATGCCGGATTTTTCGCCGCATATGGACTGAGTCAGGACTAAAACAGGACTAAACCAGGACTGAACTGTTTTCAGTCCTGGTCTGGTCCCGGTCTCAGTCCCTGTCTGGTTCCGGTCTCAGTCCCAGTCTGGCCCTCGGCTTTTCCCGGTCTCCGTCCTGGTCTCAATCCTAGTCTCAGTCCTGGTCTGGTCCTGGTCTAGTCCCGGTCTCAGTCCCGGTCTTAGTTCTGGTCTTGTCCCAGTCTCAGTACTGGTGTGGTCCCGGTCTCCATCCTGGTCTCCGTCCTGGTCTCAGTTCTGGTCTGGTCCAGGTTTCAGTCCCGGTCTCAGTTCTGGTCTCAGTCCTGGTCTCATTCCCGGTTTCAGTCCTAGTCCTGGACTCAGACTCAGTCCTGGTCTGGTCCCAGTCTAAGCCCTGTCTCAGTCCCTGTCTGGTTCCGGTCTCAGTCCCAGTCTGGTCCTCGGCTTTTCCCGGTCTCCGTCCTGGTCTCAATCCTAGTCTCAGTCCTGGTCTGGTCCTGGTCTAGTCCCGGTCTCAGTCCCGGTCTTAGTTCTGGTCTTGTCCCAGTCTCAGTACTGGTGTGGTCCCGGTCTCCATCCTGGTCTCCATCCTGGTCTCCGTCCTGGTCTCAGTTCTGGTCTGGTCCAGGTTTCAGTCCCGGTCTCAGTTCTGGTCTCAGTCCTGGTCTCATTCCCGGTTTCAGTCCTAGTCCTGGACTCAGACTCTGGTCCCAGTCTAAGCCCTGTCTCAGTCCCAGTCTGGTTTATATCAGTGTTTTTGTAAATCTATCTCGTCGAGTGCTGCACGTAGGTCTGAAATCTACAGTTCTACAGACTATTTTGATCCAATCTTGCTGGTTCAATTGGATGTTGAAAAGAAAAAGAAATGGGCCACATTTAATGTCCAAATAGGCGACTTATGGATCCTTTTATTGCTGCTTCAATTACTGTTTTTCATTGTTTAAAACTTGAGTAAAACTAATAGTTCGGAGACACGATCACTCAGTCAACAATAAAATATCCTCATTAATGTCCAACATTATAACATAGATCAGAAAATAATGTAATATGGGCCCTTTAAAGACGCACTGTGGAGCTTTTCTGGTGGAGGGTCGGCCACCTGTTGGTCTCCATGGTGATGCTATTAAGCCACTAACACTACCAGGCTTAGTCACAGTTTTAAAGACGCACCGTGTAACGTCTTAGACCTGCTTATATGGAGATTTTATTGCTTTGACGGGAATATTCCACAGTAGGGCATTAAAATTCACGCTCAGGTCTGTTTGTGACGAGGAAACAACATTATAACACATCAGAAAATAGCCCAATGTGAACCGTTTAACTTTAAATCTGTTACATAAATGAGACAAATACAATTACGTAATCCTTTTTTTTTTATTAATTAACTCATTTTTCTCTCAAACTTGTATTTCTGTTTCTCTCAAAGTAAACTTTTTCTAACCTCCCAGGGCTCGTTTCACACGCCGTCACCAGCTTCTGCACGCGCCACCTGTGAACAAGCGCAAAACTGTGATTGTTTAGCTCGTGTGTGTGTGTGTGTGTGTGCGCGCGTTACCAATCTGCCCGATAGCGTTCTGTGTGTTCGTTTTGCGGAGCGCGTGTTAGTTTTAGCATAGCCGGGGTCGGGAAAGGTGTTGCTCAGTTGAATTACAGCGGTACGGCGCGCGATCGCACTCCTCCGGTTCATTCGCACTCACCAATTAACAGAGTGGGGCTAAAAAAAGCAGGATTTGATGAGGGGGTTTGAAAACGCGTGATGTTTTTCCGCCGTGTCTTTACTTCCTGAGCGCTTAGATTCTCACCTGGTGTCAAGCAGAGGAGCGCAGCTGTGTAACAAAGTACAAAATGTATGACTTCAACTTTAGAAATACTTTTTTATGTTATGTTTTTTATTATGTCCAAGGTTTTAAATTGGAATTGGACTGTAAAATACGGATTGTAGCTGTAAGTGTTCTTTTGACATTGCATCTAAACTGGGTCTTGTCTCGGCCTTGAAAGGCTGCTTGGTCTTGGTCTTGTCTCGGTCTCTTGAAGGTGCTTGGTCTTGGTCTTGTCTCAGTCTTGAATGTGCTTGGTCTTGAAGTCTTGGTCTTGTCTTGGTCTTGAAGTGCTTGGTCTTGGTCTTGTCTTGGTCTTGAAAGCTCTTGGTTTGGTCTTGTCTTGGTCTTGAATGTGCTTGGTCTTGGTCTTGTCTCGGTCTTGAAGGTGCTTGGTCTTGGTCTTGTCTTGGTCTTGGTCTTGATGGTGCTTGGTCTTGGTCTTGTCTCGGTCTTGAATGTGCTTGGTCTTGGTCTTGAAGGTGCTTGGTTTTGATCTTGTCTCGGTCTTGAAGGCATTTGGACTTTGTCTTGTCTTGGTCTTGAAGGTGCTTGGTCTTGGTCTTGTCTTGGTCTTGAAAGCTCTTGGACTTAGTCTTGTCTTGGTCTTGAAGGTGCTTGGTCTTGATCTTGTCTTGGTCTTGAAGGTGCTTGGTCTTGATCTTGTCTTGGTCTCGAGGTCTGACACTCGATGAGATTAGATGAGATAGATTTAACATTGATATAAATGTGCCAAAATAACTGTAAAATACAAATAAATGTCAAAAACTACAACGATCATCTGGATTTGGTCTAGATGGGCCATCGTCTTGGGTCTCAACCTTTCAAAGTCTCAGTCTTGTCTCGGTCTTGACCCTTAGGTGTCTTGGTTTTGTCCTGGTCTCGGGACCCTGTGGTCTTGGACAGGTCTTGGATTCAATTAGTGCGATCTTGACTACAACACTAGCGTTCGGCTCCTGTTGTTTTCTGGTCCTGGTCTCGTCTCAGATTCTACCGCGTTTGGACTCGGTCTTGTCTCGGTTTTGAAGGCGCTTGGACTCGGTCTTGTCTCGGTCTTGAAGGCGCTTGGACTCGGTCTTGTCTCGGTCTTGAAGGCGCTTGGACTCGGTCTTGTCTCGGTCTTGAAGGCGCTTGGACTCGGTCTTGTCTCGGTCTTGAAGGCGCTTGGACTCGGTCTTGTCTCGGTCTTGCAGGTGCTTGGACCTGGTCTTGTCTCGGTCTTGAAGGCACTTGGACTCGGTCTTGTCTCGGTCTTGCAGGTGCTTGGACCTGGTCTTGTCTCGGTCTCGAGGTCTGA